GATTGCAAAAACCATGGCCTGTATCAGGCGCCCCTTAGTCTCCAGAGAGATACTGTTGCTCTTGAGTATTTTGGAGAGGTCCCTAACCGCAGACTTTCCCATCGCAATACGTTTTTTGATTTCCTGGCTACTGGTGCCAAGAGTGTTGACCGTGGAGCCAAGCAAACTGAAGCTGTGAACAATCTCAATCTCTTCGCCATCCATCCTGATGCTACCGATTGGTCCAGTGGTGAGAATTTTTGTCTTCTTGACATTGAGCCTCCGTCCATATTGAAGGCTGCAGTCCTTGACCCTCTGCAGTAAGTGCATGAGGTCTCAGTTTCAGCGAACAAGGTTGTGTCATCTGCATAACGCAGATTGTTGATAGATAGTCCACCAATCCTAACGCCACGCCTCTCCTCATAGAGCCCCGCCTCTCGGATAATCTGCTCTGCATACAGGTTGAAAAGGTATGGAGACAGGACACATCCCTCCCAAATTTGAACCATGCAGTGTTGCCCTGCTCTGTTCTGACGACTGCCTCTTGGTCCAAGTATAGGTTTCGCATTAGCACGATTAAATGTTCTGGGATTCCCATTCTTCTCAGAGTCAGCCACAGTTTGTTATGATCCACGCAGTCAAATGCCTTTCATTTTTATTTTCTATTAGTATGCTTACAAAGTTCATATGGATTGTGTTTCACACTATCCTTCATTCATAATGTGTTTCATATAACCACCCATTGTGTTTTTCCTTACAATGACTAGTTGAGCTTTGATGAGGGCTATCACTGATCTGAGGAACACTTCATTGAAGAAACGCAGTGAGTTGATCCTTAATATAGGCAAAACCACTCATTTAGGATGAACTGACTAAGAAAGAGCATGAAATCAAAAGCTGTGAACCACAGGGAGTAAACCATAATTGAATCAAGTCTACTGCCTTCAAGTAAGTTCCAACTAACAGTTGCCCTCCATCTGGTTTCTGAGGCAGTAAGGCTTGACAGAAAAGAGCTCATCTTTCTCCTCCTAAGGATTTGGTGTGTCTGAACAGCTAGCCATTTGGATAGGAATACAACACATTATGTCACCAGCGCTCCTTATTAATGGAATCAAATGTCTGTTTAAAAGAATAATAGGAGAGCCTGCAGAAAAAAGCTGATTTGGGCCATATTAGGGATCCTGGCATTCTAAGCTAATTGATTAATAATACAAACAACTGTGTAACATCCAAAGTGTTCCAAACTAACATTAAAACAAGAACACTCTTAACCGAGGACCCATACACCCTCATTTGGGTTTAATGTGGCCAACGTGAATGGCCTCAGCAAACACAAAATGTATTTGGATTTGAGACTGTTTTCATACAACAGCGATTTTCTTCTTTCTTCCTCCACATGTCCTCTGAAAACTTCCAGTTGCCATGGATTGGATTCTGACTCATGGCAATGCCATGTGTTTCAAAGTTACAAGTGTGCTTACCCATCGGGCTTATCACTGACAGTGACCTTTAAAAAAAAAAATCAAACACCACCACAAAAAACAAAAACAACATAGGCCTTGTTCTTACATCCTAGGTATTGTTATTCCCATTTCCTTGCTGAAATTAGCATTTTTTATAGAATTAAATTCTTTAGGATTGTCAGTTTAAAAACTTAGTGCCAAAAAAACCCAACAAAAAACAAACCTTAGTGCCACCTCAAAAAATAAAAACTTAGTGCCAAGATGGAAAAACTTACCTAATACAAAATGTAGTAAAAATAAAAATATGTTGTTGTTGTTATGTGCTGTCGAGTCGCTTGCGACTCATAGCGACCCTATGTACAACAGCCCTAAACTCTGCTCTGTCCTGTGCCAATCTCATTGCCTCCGACACACCCATCCCGATTACCCCAGTCACTAAATCAATCCACCTCATAGAGGGCCTTCCCCTCCTGCACTGTCCCTCCACCCTCCCAAGCATGATGTCTTTCTCTAAGGACCGGTCCCTCCTTACAACATGTCCAAAAGTATGTTAGATTAGAGCCTCAGAATCATTGCCTCCAAGGAGCCTCCCAGTTAATCCTTTCCAGGATGAATCTGTTTGTTTTCCTAGCAGTCCATGGTACCCTCAATACGCTTCTCCAGCACCACAGCTCAAAGGCATCAATACTCCTTCAATCCTCCTTGGTCATTGTCCAACTCTCTGATTCATAACAAGTGATAGCAAAGACCATGGACTGTATCAGACGTACCTTAGTCTCCAGAGAGACACCATTGCTCTTCAGTACTTTGGAGAGGTAAAAATACAAAATTATTCTCCAATTTGCTTCCTTTAAAAGGTTGATTCTGTTCCAAATTGTAATTTAACAATATATATTTAAGTTATGTGACTAAGTTAAGCCCAAGGACTCAGGCAGCCCCCTAGTTTGCCTCCCAAGCAAATGAGTCTGTTGCCTTTAGGAAGGAAAACAAAAAAAATTCCAATACCTGTGGATTTCTGAGCCTGCAAATCATTCAGGCAGAGAATGTCTCATCTTTCTCCTGTGATTTTGAACTGCCAACCTTTTTTTGTTATCAGACAGTACTTAAACCACTAGCTACCAAGGCTGCTTCTTAAGAGAGAACATATTCCTAAAACAACCCACATCTGGGCTGCAGACTTTTAAGAAAGTGCTAGGCTACTAAAGTAAGGTCATGCACCTAATTAAATGCTCACAGGTTTGCAGCTTCATAGATGTCATAGAACAAAGTCATGGAGTCTGCTCAAATAAAAGTACATTTAGAAGTTTATTGAGGGCTAGAGATGGTCCAGACCAGAAAACATCTATTTGTGTGAAATCTGCCAACCCACTAGACCGCAAAACAAATACGTTCTTATTAACCAGGAACTAAAAATTACAAAATTCATAATAGGCTGGGACATTACCTGGAAACAAGAATTTGGCAGTCATAGGTTCATAAAGTGGAATCATATGATGGGTTGAAAGAACATGAGGTTCAATATGTTACAGAGTGGTCTCAGCATGGCAGACAAGATCAGGTTTTCCCCTCAAGATGGATTTACACAGTCATGGTAAGAATGGGCGAAAGCATTTAGAGATGGTGAAGGTAGGGAAAGGTTCAGATCTGTTGTTTCACAGAGTCATAGTCGCCTCCACGACACCTAACAGCAACATTCTTCCTCTGGTGGCCCGTTGTTGTTATGAACCGTTAAGTCAGAACCAACCCATAGCTGATCAGGTTTGCCTATCGTTTCCTCGCGGAGCAGTTGTGAGATTCTAACTGCCTTGTCAGTTGGTATTTACGGTTTTAACCTAAAAACGGAAGGCTGAAATCCACCAGCGACTGCACAGGAGAAATACGGAGTCTCCCCCTGTGTGATTTACAATAAGGAGATTTGGGGTTTGGTGGTGTTTGTTTTTAAATCTTTCCTCAGGGAATTCTCCCTGCGTAATTCCCAGCGAGTTGCCTTGTTGTGGCTGTGTGATTTACGGTCTCAGAAAACCCACTGGAGGGTCAGCTTTGAGTCCGGCCTACTCGACGACAATGAGTTTTATTCACACATAAAGGACACACTGGTGGCGTAGCCAGCGGCTGAAGTGGCCAGTTTGAATCGACCAGCAATCTCGTGGGAGCAAAATGGGCATTTCCATGCGATCTATGGCCTTGGAAAACGCACTGAAGTCAGCCAAGAGAATCCTCATGGCAATCAGAGTACGAATGTTTCCACATAAACCAAGGACCTTAGACTCTCGTACGTATCTACATAGTCTTTCTGGAGACTCAACCTTTTCTAAGGACTTTGAAGAGCGTCTTACTAAGGGGCTTAGTTCCCAGTTAAACAACCGAAAACAATGAGGAGTACTGAGGGAAGGACATCATGCTTGGAAGAGTTGAGGGTCAGCGTGGGAGAGAAAACCCTGACAGAGCTGGACGGACACAGTGGCTACGGCAATGGGCTCAGGTGTGTTGAGACGTTGAGGGAGGCTCGGGAGAGGGCAAGGTCCAAAGCCATTGTTTAATAGGGTCGCTAGGAGTCGCAGTCGACTCAACGGGACGTAACAACACTGAGGGGGAAGAGTCAACTAAAAATCACTTCGTCTTTAATACTTTGGTTTCCTCTGTCCTGTCCAGAAACGAATCTCGAGACACCCCAGGTTTCTGCAGCCTCGGGTAGCCTAAAGCATAGAAACAGGAACCCCAAGCGAGCTGAACGTGGGAAACCCGCGAAACAGCTTGGCTGGTACAGGGGGTGACGCTGGGCGGGAGAGCGAACATTCAAAGTCAGGGGGCGGGGCGGGGCTGCGCGCGCAGACCCGGAAGTCTTCCCAGCCCGCGAATGCCGGTGTGACGCCTCAGTCCTTCTGTCCCTGAATGGGAGGGTCCCTGTTGGCGGGCAGCTGGATCTAACTACCGGTTGTCGGGGTAGTACATCACCCCTGCAACAAATAGAGGGACAGCAGGGGCGGGGCGCGGCGCTAAGCGCCCGGAAACTGCGCCTGGCGCCCAAAAGTGCACTGAGGCCGTAGCAACGGTGAAACGGAAGTTCAGCTCCAGCTGGAGCCTGGAGTCGGTGGTCCCCGGTGGGCAACCGGGTTCTCCCCTCGAGCGGTGACTCCTTACCTTCGCGCTTTGGCGACTTCGGGCTTGGATGCCTGGAGCAAAGAGGGAGCAAGGTCACCGGGTAAGAGGGCGAGGGAGAAGTTGGCGCGAACCTTCAGTTGCCGGGGGCGGGAAGTGCCCGGGACCCACCATCAGCCCTGCAGCTGCCGTTCCTTTACTCTTATCAGACGTTTACCTTAAAAGTGGACCTATTGGTCACTGGTCTGCAGATTACTACTGTTTTAACTCACAGCGCCTTCTTGCATCAAGTCGTTTGATGCTCCTAATGTCTGAATTCTGATAACGCTACTGGGCATATAATCAAACACAAGGTTTTTATCGAGTTCGGGGGTGTAATTTTAGTGGTAGTTGAGCCGTGACTACGGTTTTATCTTGCAGGTGCTGATGAAAAACAACAAATCTGCGTAGTCTATGAAAATGGCAGTACCTAAAGACGCCATCCCGTCCTTGGCGGAATGCCAGTGCCAAATCTGCACAGAAATATTTATCGAACCTGTAACCCTCCCGTGTAACCACACACTCTGTAATCCGTGCTTCCAATCGACAGTTGAAAAAGCAAATTTATGCTGCCCCTTCTGCCGCCGCCGGGTCTCTTCGTGGACCAGGTACCATACCCGAAGAAAAACTCTTGTTAATATGGAACTGTGGGAAACCATTCAAAAACACTATCCAAAAGAATGCAAGCTGAGAGCCTGTGGACAAGAATCAGAGGAAATCGGTGAGTAAAACCCAACGTGCTTAGTGGTCAAAACTCAATGTAAATCACCATTTTAAAAAAGAAAAACTGATCGTATTTAGCCAATGGCTCTTAGGGGCCCCAAATATCTGTTGAAGTCAAAAGTAAGATTTTATTTCCCAGGCAGTAGAAAGTGTGAATTATATTGATTATGTGCTTGGGGTTTTTTTGTTTGTTTGTTTTAAATACAGCTGTATCTTAAAAAATCAGGTGCACCAAAGTAAAATAGAAGCGCAAACATAAGCGTTGCTATTTTAGGGCCTCAGTCATGGCAAAAAATTACATCCATAGTCACAGATGAGCTTTTCAGCCGCCGGAGATATAAGGAAACTGCAGGTTCTATGTGATGTTTCGTTTCTTTGAATTATATTCCCTGACACAGTTTGTGCACCTCCTTTCTTTTCATTCTTAAGCATGCTAAAGACTAAAATAGCTTTCTGTACCAACTGCCATCTAGTTCAATCAATCTGATTCAGAGCTTTCCAGTGTGAACTCACCAGTTATTCAGAGTCCCCCAAACAGAATACTTGACTCTAGCAGTTTCCCTGCACTCATGTGATTAGCAAACCATACACTGTTCCCAGTTAATGTAGATGAATGTGCACATCCTGGCCTGCATCTTTTGAAACACCTCAGCTGGTATTAAGATTCCTGGTGGGGCCTCCTTAGTCAGCAGTCCCTGCAGTGAAGCTTGAAGGCCTGACAACAGTGCCTCAGCATTTTCTTCTAAGAATTTTATGATTTTGATTTGCATATTTTGGTTTTTAATCCATTTTCACTTTGTTTTTATGTATGGTATAAGGTGTGGATTGTCAGTTTTTACATATTTTAGAGCTCTGTCGCATTCATATATGCTTGTAACTGATATATATTGACCTTTTTAATATAAAAGATGTTCCTTTATTTTACTAGTAAGATTTTTTATTTTAAAATATTTTATGTGATATTCTTAAAACTGTTTCCTTATTGTTGTTCTTTGTATAAGTGGTTTTCCTTTGTTCTTTCAATCTAATATATGAATACTATATGTTGTTACTGTTATGTGCCATTGAGTTTATGACTTATAGTGACCCTGTGTACAATAGTTCTGAACCCTGCACTATCCTGTGACAAACTTATCTCTGACTCATCTACCCCCATTACCCCAGTCACTAAATCACTCTATCTTATAGAGGGTCTTCCTCTTTTGCACTGTTCCTCTACCCTGTCAAGCATGATGTCCCTCTCCAAGGACTGGATGCATGCCTAGACTATGTCAGACAAAGCTTCAGAATCCTTGCCTCCAAGGACTAGCAGTCCATTGGTATATTCAATGCTCTTCTTGAGCACCACAGCTCAAAGACATCAGTTCTCCTCTTGATGTCTAGTTTTCTTATGCATAGCGAGTAATTGTGAAGACCATGGCCTGGGTCATACACACCTTAGTCTCTAGGCTTGGGTCATACACACCTTAGTCTCTAGGCTAACATCATTCCTCTTCATTACTCTGGAGAGGTCACTAACAGCAGATTTTCCTAGTGCAATGCATCTTTTGATTTCCTGGCTCCTGATACCAAGAGTGTTGATTGTGGAGCCAAGCAAACAGAAGCTTTCTTAGTCTCTTCACCTTCTATCATGATGCTTCCAGTCTGCCCATTGGTGAGAATCTTTGTTTTCTTGCTCTTGAGCTTCAATCCAAATTGAAGGCTGCAGTCCTTAACCTACAGCAGGCAAGGTTGTGTTATCTGCATAATGCAGGTTGTTGATGAATCTTCCTCCTATACTGATGCCACATTCCTTCAGCATATAAGTTGTTTTTAAGTGCCTTTGAGTCATACACGACTCATAGCAACCCTATGAACGAAAGACCTGAATGCTTGTGTAACTTTCATTGCCCACATATAAATAGACCTTTTTAAAATTGACTGCTGACCTTTTGAGAAGCTGTGCTGCAATCCCAAAGGCATGTGGTTCAGATCTGGAAGACTTGCCCCGTGGGAGAAATAATCGGTAGTCTCCTCCTTTGTGAATAACTTTGAAAACCCACTGGAAGATCATCTATGAGTCGCTTCTGATTCAGTGGCATACAACATTATTTGTCTTTTACTTGAGTTCTTTAATCTTCATAAGCTTTTGCTTGTTGCAATATAATGCGTGTGTGTGTGTGTGTGTATAAAATATCTATTTGCCTTCCATTAATTCTTGTTAAATGGGAGTTTTGTATTTCTACAAACAACAGGTTACAGTTGCAAATTATTTGGCATATTCAATGGAACGATTCTGTTTGAATGAACTATTAACAAGTTCATGGTTAAAAAGTTGCCCAAACTGAACTTTTTTTAAATTTTTTTAAATAATTTTTCTTCTTGTTGAAAGTACATACAGCAAAACATAGGCCAATTTAACAAGAATGGTGCCTGCATTTTACTGAGAGCCATGTGTAAATCAGGCATGAGTTTTCCTCAAGTTGATCATAAGGATCAACAGATCATAGGTACAAACTGGAACAGGGTGGGTTATGGGATAGGAATGGAGACTGTAAGCATTTGGGCCATTTCCACATGTAATCTACTTGGCACCTGATCTAAATAAACCATGATCTTTTCAGTTGTTATGCAGCTCAAAGTTGGACAGTGAATAAAGATAACAGAAGAATCCAGGCCTTTGAGTTGTGGTGTTGGAAAAGAATGCTGAATATACCATGGGCTGCTAAAAGAACAAACAAATACATCTTGGAAAAGGTGTAGCCAAGATGTTCCTCAGAGGCAAAGATAGTGGAAGTTGATCTAACATACTTAGGGCATGCTTGTAAAAGTGGAGGGTTGGCTGAGGAGCAGAAAGAACGTCAATGAGATGGATTGACACAGTGACTTTAACAGTGAACTTGAGTGTATCAGAGATGATGAGGATGGTTCAGAATAAGGTAGAGTTCAGCTCCATTGCCAATATGGTAGCTTTGAGTCATAGTTGACTCAGTGGCACTTAACTCAGGTTCTGCTTATACCTGATGTATACCACATCCGTTTATTAATGGAGTACTACTTTGTACCTCCACCTTTGTGACTCTGTCTGATGACGTCCAGTTCATGCTGTGCACCTCAGGCCACAGGGTAACTTGGTGACACATTGTTAACTTTTCAGTCTCTTCTACTGCTCTTCTGCTAAGGCCTGATGTTGTTGTTGTTGAGTGCTGTCAAGTCATAGATGACTCATAGCGACCCTATAAACTAAAAGACCTGAACACTTGTATAATGTGTGTATCGTTTCTCCAAGTTCATAAAGTTTCTGGAGGCAAGCTATTTTGGAAGTGGGTACCACTCCTGCTTCCAAGCTTGTTTTAATCGGGGAGCTCCACCAAATACTATCTGCCATGGATAACCATTGTTGCATTTGACACATCAGTGTCACAGAAGGCCAGATATATCATAAACTAAAAACATTTTGCAAAAGGGGAGTAATTGTCTGCACAGGATGGCAGGGATTTGCTCTAGCATGCTAAGGGTCTATTCTGTGGTTTGCCAATAGCGGCCTTGGACTCCAAACTGCATCTCTTTCACTAAAACTTAGTCATCATTGGTTCAGTCAGGTCATATGGCTGAAGGGGCCAGGCAGCTTGCATGGTACCCTGAACCTGTTGTAGAACTGTTAAGTTCTTAACTGTAAGTTAAGTTGTGTGTCAACCTGCTAGCTCATGTTATGCTAATACAATGTGATCTTCTCCATGAACAATTGAGAGTATCCTAAGAAGTGTGACCCACACCTCATATGTATATATTTTGGCAAAGATTTTTTAGCTTTTTTTTTTTTTATTAAATTTTATTAGTTTTAATGAACATTTACAGGGATTTTGGGTTTTCATTCCTTCATTGCTGCACCATTCTCTCTACCCTCCTCCCCAGTTTGTTCTTCTTCCCCGCCATCCGAATGTCTGTTTTAATTGTCCAATTGCCACAGTGCTTGTCAAAGTCAGTTCTGATTAATCTCCTTTGTCGGTGTGTCCTTTGCCATTCCCTATCACTCCTCCCTGAGAGAGACTTCACCCTGAGTCATAAGGAAAAGGGGATGGCGTATTCTCTTAGCTACTTCCTGCTGAAAAGGGACGCTGTGGGTTTCAGGGTGAAGATCTTCTCTCACTACTCTAAAGGGCTCCTTTGGCAGTAGGAAACACATAGACTATTATGGAGATTGATTTTGGAATTTAGATGCACTCTTATTGATTGTGCTTGGCCGTACATGTTCATATCCTTGAAGATGTATCATGGGGGTGTTGCAACCGGCCTTTCTCCTGCCAGGTTAGTTCCTCAACAGCTCGCCTGATAGCTCCGGGTGATGTCTGGATCCAAGGTGGTGTCCCAAGGTCACAGGGCTGTGGTGGGGGTTGAGATGTGTGGTTGTGGAGCTTCAAGGGGGGCGGGGGAAGGGGAGGAAAGCAAGGGACTAGGGGGCAAGGAGTGCAGGGGTTGGACACTATCACCAAGAGGTTGGGACGGGGCTTGGGCGCTGCTGGGGGTTTATGCAGCAGCACCCTGTGTGTTAAGGGTCACACAGGTGTGGGGTTGGAGGGGGGTCACACAGTGTCTGGTAGTCTTCGTTCCTCTGGGGTCTCACAGTCTTCGCTCCTCTGGAGTTCCGCGGTAGGTGGCTGGCTGTTCTTCCCGGGTCTCTTCCAGGTCCCTCTAGCAGCGTTCCCCCGTCTGGCGGCGGTGTTCCCCGGTCTGGCGGCCTCGCCCTCGCGCTGCGTTGCCCTCGCGCTGCGTCGCCCGATTTTTTAGCTTTTTAGTCTCTCTGAGTCCTTTGGCTTGAGCTGTGTTTCCTGGCTCTCCTAACTTCTAGCTCTTGAAAATTGAGCCTCCCTTTTACTTTTGGAATTCACCAACTTCTGCAGCCAGTGAACCATCAGCTCTCTTGAAGTTAGATTCATCAGTCCTAGAAGCTATGTCAGTCAGAAGCCACTAGCCTAATGTCTGACCCATGGACTTCGGACTTACCACACTTTACGGCTGTGTGAGCCATTTCTTTGAGAAAAACATTTTTCCTTGTATAAGCCTCACTGGTTTTCTTTTGCTGGAAAACTCAACCTAAGCCTTTCTCCTGTTCTGGGCCCCACTCAAAACCAGTAGCTTTTTATTATTATTATTATTATTAAATTTTACTAATTTTAATGAACATTTAGAGATTTTGGGTTTTCATTCATTCCTTGTTGCACTATTTTCTCTACCCTCCTCTCCAGTTCGTTCTTCATT